ATAGGGGAGATCTACCACTATCACCGGGTGTCTAAAGGTTTTGTTACCTATTTTAAACTTTAACCAGGTATTGCCAATAACATGAAGGGCATTTCCTCCTACACTCAACAGAGCGTTGGGGAAATCTCTTAGCTTCGGCTTATCCGTTGCTAAGTCCATTACCTGCTGGAAGTAGGTATTGGATAAGATAGTGGCTTGTGAACCAGTATCTATTAACCCTTTAAAAGGCTGGGGTAGCGAATCCTGTATTTCTACAGACATGTAGTACCTTCCTTCATGTTCTTCTAATTCACATAAGAATTTAGAATGTGTCAACATATTACTTGTTTTCCATACATTACCGGTCACAGCAGTAGTTTCTACCTGTACTGAGGAATGCTCAGTCTTACCACAGGCCCATCCTTTTTAGGAATAACTTGAACTGTCAAGTGGGAACTAGTGGTCGGCATCTCATCAGTTAACCCTTTCAGGTCTGGATCCTGGAAACTAGTGGTTGCTGGGGCTACTTTAGCCTTTGGCTGAAATGAAAAAACAGAGGAACACGTTGCGCCTCCTTCACCCGGAAGTGAAGTGACGGGATAGGCAATAGGTTTCCTAACACAACTATTGTTTGTTTGACTATGAGTACCTGGAAAGGAAACAGGGTTAGGCATTACATCTACTGATAACCTAGCCTGTTTAGTCACAGTGGCTATTATTGCTGCGGCACCTGTTGTTGTTGCTGCGGTTGCACAGGTAGTTCTGCAATTGGAGCTATCCCTAAAAAAGGATTTAGAGCAAAGACTTGGTTGATCTTTGTCATTTCCTCCATTAATTTGCCCATCTGGTCTGTCAATTGACCAACCTGACGACGCAAATTATTTCCCCCATTGACGTTTTGTCTTTGCCCATTAGAATTTGGTTGGGATGGCTGAGACTGTTGGGAGTTATTGGAAGCAGATTGGTTATTTCTGTTTCCATATCTCCTATTTCCCTGAGGATTCCTTCTCCATTGGGAATTGCCTTGGTTCTTATTAACCCAGGGGCGTTTATTCCCATTGGCATTGGATTTTTCAGAGTTATTAGAGGAATTTGCAGAATTGCTTCCGGCATTTTCCTGTTTCTGAGGTTTTGGAGATTTCAAAACCTCAGAATAGGTCCTCTTTTTCTGTTGGGTTTCTAAACCTAACTGAATTTTAGTCTCTGACACCATTTTATCACCAGGTTTCTTAACCTTTGGCTGATTTTCATCATGTGCATGGTGTATAGTATACAATTTCATGCACTGACTGACTAGCCATTCTAATGGTAACTTACAATCGTAATCTCTTGCAAGATTCATTTGTATGTTTATTGGCATGGCATGAAAATACAGATCTTTGAAGTCTGTGCTTTCATACCTGGGTTTTCTTTGGGCCACGGAGTATGCATTTTTAAGAATTATTAAAAATTCTCTGGGGCTTTGATCTGGACGGCACTTTAAATTATAAAGCGCCTTCTTTGCAGAGGCAATGGTTTTATACTTACCATATTCCATGATTATTTCATATTTCATCTTGGACCAGGACATTAACTGTATAGCTTGAAGACTTTCTAGATAAACACGACACATTGAATCAAAGGTCCATGTAATGAACCATTTCTTATGAATGTCATCATACATGCCCAATGAATTCATTGCTCTATCATAATTTTCCAGATGTTCAGATATGTTTCCTGAACCTCTAGAAAATTGTGGGACAGTCTCTCTAAGGAATTTGATGACCTTTGGTGTTTCATAAACAGGCGTCGTTGAATTACGACCTCTGTTTCTGTGTTTGGGTAAACGTCTATGCGATCTGTCTGCTGAAGAGGAATTAGACCCGTACAACAGTGCAGATGGCATATCAGTTACATGGCCTTCAGAGTGGACAGTGCAATCACTTTCACTCCCATCACTCTGAGCTTCTTGTTCACTGTCACAATTCCGATCAGCATCAGAATTCTGCCAGTGAACAGAACCATGTCTGTTTTCATTCCTATCACCTTTAATCTGATTCCTTCTGTCAAGCATGGCCAGGACAGTCTTTTCAAACTGTTCTGCCCAAGATTGCCAAGAATCTATAGGTGTTTTCTCAGAATTACTCACATCTTTACTTACAGACTGTTTTATGAAAACCTGGTCTGGTGTGTGAATATCAGGGAATTGAGAAGAATCACTTGGGTCTTTTCCCAGTAATCCTTCACTTCCCTTTTGATATTCATCTAGCTGCATCTGTATCTGTTTTATCTGTTGATCATAATCATCCACCATTTTGCTCATTCTTTCCAGTTTATTAAAAAGGTCAGAGTTTAGAGCCCGAAGGAGATTATTTTCATCAGACAAAGTTTTGAACCTTCCTTGTTCGAGCACCAGGTCTTTCTGACACTCGTCCAATTTACGTTCTATCTCATTATGCTTTTTTAACATAATAGAATAACCCAATATGAAAAACGGGCATGATTTGGTAACAGATCGCATTGTAGACTCTTCATCTATATGGCTAAGATATTTAACCATAGGTGAATCAGCCGATCTATCATGAATTGAATCATCAACCTGTTTTTTTATTTGGAGTATCCACTCTGGATAATCAACTTTAATATTTAGATACTGATATATGATGCTTAAGGGAAAACCTTGCATTTCCGCTAACTTCTTCCCATTCTCTGATTGAGATGAAGCGCTAGATTCAGCCATATTTCTATACAGTGATTTAATCTCAATACAAAACTCTTTTCTATATCAAGATTAAATTGCATGAATTACACCAATATTATTATATATGAAATATAATTTCAACTTAAACGATCTCAGCACCGTGCCTCCAATATGTGGGAATATTTATGGGATAATAATAGTAAACAGTGAAAATTGCCCACTAATTCAATTCTCAGATCCCAAAGAACGTTTATCGTGTTAAGTGGAAAGTATTTCATATAAATAATCACAATGTATAAAAATAGATTTTTATTTATGATAACCAATAATTAACAAATAATATTATGTAACATGCATGACAATAACCAATGAATATCCAGTACAAAATTATATGCAATACAAAGAAATGGGTATTACGTTACAATGGCTAAATAGCATTTCCTGTCAAGAATTCTGAGGATTTATGAGGTATCCTTAACACAGACTTAAGTGAAACTTTTCACAGCGAAGAACAGAATTCCTCAGAGTGCAGCGTAAGGTCGTAAAGTTTAGCAGACAGTTAGAATAACCCTTTCAATGCTGGCTAGATCTCCTAGGTAGTTAAGATCTATTCTTATGTAATTTTAAATAAAATAACATTTAACCCAGTTCATTAGTCATTTCCTGAAAACCATCCAATAAGAGAATCTACATATTATATAAGCAGATTTTTAATTTGTCTAAAAGATATCTATCTTAATTTAGAGCAAATCAATACACCTGGATAAAAACAGCGGTATGCTAACACGTGATAATATCACATCAATATATAATTATTCTTAATTCCACCTGCAGAATGGAATGTTTATAACTATATATTCTTTAGTTAACTAAGATTTCTTAATATGGAAATCTGACCGTGCTTTATCCAGTCATATATAATGCTATTAATACATTTTAATTAATTTAATTTAATTAAATGAAACCAGTATAATTACCAGTTGAGTAGATATTTCATCCGATTGGTAGTCTCAGGAACTTATTTGGATGTCTCTCTGCATGGAGGTGTTGGTTAGAAAGTCAGTAAATTCTAAGTGTTAGAGTTTTAGGAGTAGAGTGTTAGTCTCAGATGTTGTCCGAGTTGGAGTCCCCAAACTTCCAATTCCTCTCTCCTCTCCTTTGCATATGTCCTGCATCTGCCTCCCTGTCTTCCCTTTGTCTTAACTTTTAAAGGGTCAGACTCTCTGTACGTCATCAGTTGATAACCCAATAGAAGCACTAGAGGTGTGGTTATCTTCCAGATCGCAAATTAGTTATTTGGTCTGTAGAGGGCAGTCTTGTCCCACTAAACATACCTATCCAGGAAAGAGTTAACTTTTCCTGGTGACTATTTTGACGTCATTTTGGCCTATCTAGATAGTGGCTATAACTTACGTATCCTTCAAAGATCAAAGGGTTTCTTAAATTTTGTCCAGACTATGTGTCTGGCAAATCTGCTATAATTTCTGATATGACAGATCATGAACTAAGTTTACCCTTTTCCATACAATGGTACCTATATATATATATATATATATATATATAGACAGTTAAATTTTATTATTTAATCTTCTCTGTCACAATTGTCTGGGTTTAGATTTGATTATATTCCATTAGCATTAGACAGTCTGTCCAACCCCCTTCCTTATCACTTGGCTTGTATATACTATGCATTCCTCAGCTCTGGGAAAGTGGTTAGCTTACAGATAGAAATATAGTGTCTTTTTGTTAACTTGAAATAACAAAATGGAGTCTGGTCTGTTCAGAGTGACTCAGAATATACACTTTTAGTTTCTATCATAGCACAAAAATGTCTGCCGATATAAATACTCTGACAGCTTGGTTGCAATCTTTTACAGAAATCTGTAAATAATATATAACAGACATAGTGCAGATGGTCTATACAATTTAAATGTAAATAAAAAGATGACAATTCACAACTCACAAGCTGTAGAGCCAACTTGTCACCTGGCTCTAGTGTGTAGCACTCTGGTATCTTTAGGGGAGATCCACCACCCTCTTATATCTCCTTCTGGTCTCCTCCACCTTCAGAATCTTATGCAGGAATGGGCAGGAAACTCCAGTGATAAAAAGATACAAATTTATTGAGAAAATAAAATGATCGATATGATCAAAAATACTTCTGTGGTATTAAGTCCAAAGTCCAAAACGCGTTTCGCCATTTACTGGCTTCCTCAGGTGGCTGTTTAATCCATTTAACGTTCTTACCATTTTAGATACTGCATCTATTTTGAAATTGCCGGCATCCGTGAACCCGGAAGTGCCCTCAGTGGAACGCTCGTTCCGTTCACACGCGGATCACATGACCCGGAAGTACTTTCCTTCGGTTCGTGGAACGCATATATGCGTTCCGCTGCCGCAGATAGCCACAGTCTGGGGTGATGAGACTTGCACAAAATCCTGGGGCATGTGAGTTCTCATTCATACCGAGAATAAATATATTAAAAGGAATGTAAGTGTTCTAAATTGGCAGCAGGGATATATTTTAAAACAAAAAACATTCAACAAATATTTACATCAATCTCTTTACAACAAGATAATTTAAAGTGCTCCGTGCTCTTCTTTTAAAACGCTTTATGAATAAGTGTAGAACAATAAAAATTACCACATCACCATATAGTGCTTTTGTTAGCATTATCCTTATAAAACATGGAGGAGGGATAAGACAAAGGCTTTTTTATCAAGATTTACAAATTTCACCCAATTGGTTTTAAAGGAGTAACATCGAAATTTTCAATTAAAAATATAATTTCACGATAAAAAGTGACATAATTCGAAATCTAAACTAAGACCATAGGGTGTTAAAGTGTTAAAATTAAAAATAAATTTAATTTCTTCAATTCCAATTCGCTTTGTAAAATCTCCTCCCCTCCAGTTTTTTTTAACTACCTTCGGTGCACAAAATGTGAGATCTTTTGTATTTTGATTATGAAAGTTTTTAAAGTGGTAAGAGACGCTATGCGTCTCTATTACTTTTTAAATATTTCTCACATGTTCGGAAACTCTAGTGTGTAAACATCTGATGGTTCTCCCTACATATAACAAGTCGCATGGACATTTTTAATAAATTATAATTTTTGAGAAACAGGTTATTTGGTTTCTTATTTCAAAATCTTTATTTGTAAATTAATTTTGTGTTTTTTATACTTCTTTTCTTGCTGTTTGTCTCCCTACATGCTAAGCACCCTCCACATCCATAAAAACCTTTATTACCTGTTAAAAAATTCTTATTAGTGCTTGATGAGTCTTTATAATTACTATTCACTAATATACTTTTAATATTCTTACACCCTTTATGTACGATTTTAGGTTTTGACGGTAATATATTTTTTTAAAATGGGGTCATCTTGTAAGAGGTGCCAGTGTTTCTTAATAGCATATCATACTTTATTTCTAGCGGAGAAATTACAGATGAATGGAACTTTCATATTTTTGTCCTCACTTCATTTCTTCTTATATGTGAGAAGTTCTTTTCTTTCCATTTTTTTGACTTCATTCAGGCTTACTTGGCGATCTTCTTCTTTATAACCCTTCTCTATGAACTGCTCTTTAATTATTTGAGTTTGTGTGATAAAATCATCTTCTTGTGTGCAGTTTCTTTTCAACCTCATAAATTGGCTTTTGGGCGCATTCATAAGCCATGGAGTATGATGGCAACTTGTGAGGTCTATATATCCGTTACAATCTACTTCTTTAAAATAATTTTTCGTATGAATTTCTCCATTGTCTATAAAGATGGTTAGATCTAATAAATTGATTTCCTGTTTACTCTGAGTGGAGGTGAGAGTTATCCCCAAATCGTTGGAATTGAGAAAACTTAAAAGATCGGTGAGACTCGATTCATCTCCTTTCCAGATAAAAAATATATCAAAGAAACTGCGATAGGGGACCAAGTCCGCATATGCAGCATGCGATAAAATAAATGTTTCTTCCCAGTACGCCATGAACAAATTGGCGTAACTGGGCACGAACTTGGTCCCCATTGACGTTCCATTGATTTGCATAAAAAACAATCCTTAAACCAAAAAAAGTTATTGGTGAGGATTAAAAATATGCCTTTGATTATAAAATCAATCTGCTCCTGTTTAAAATCGTATTTCTTTAGAAAATATTGCATTGTCTCAATCCCCTTATTGTGTGGGATAATACTATAAAGTGAACTCACATCAAATGTGATCAATATATAGTTTGCCTCCCATTTTATATTGCCAAGAATTTGTTATATATGTACTGTGTCCTTTAGATACGAGGGATTCTTAGTTACTATTGGTTGGACTAGTACGTCGATGTATTCAGATACCCTTGATGAGATACTATCTACTCCGGAAATTATTGGTATTCCAGGAGGGTTCGTCAAATGTTTGTGCATTTTGGGCAGGCAGTAAAATACCGGAATTTGAGGATTTAAAATATTTAAATATTTAGCTTCTGTGTCTGTTAAAATGTTTTTGTTTAATCCCTCACTAATACATGTTTGAAATTTATCTCTAATTTCTTGGCTGGGATTGGATTTTAGCTTCTTATATGTATGAGAATCTGACAAAAGTCTTTCAGCTTCACCAACATGTTTTTCCTTGGATAAAACTACCTCCCTTCCCCCCTTATCAGCTGGTTTAATTACAAGATCTTTCTTTTTCTGTACATTTTTTAAAGCTTTTATTTCTACCTGCGACAGATTCTTTTGGTATTTATTTGTATTCTTTATTTTACTCACTTCCTTCATTACCATGGTCTCGAATGTCTTAATTTCACTCGAGACCATGTTTTTCAGGAAGAATTTAGATTTTTCTTTGAGATTACTATGTATATATGGGGAAGTAGTATCCATTCGCTCTGAATTATTCTTGTCATAAAAAACCTTTTTATAGACATAATTGTCTAGTAAACCGATTGAGATCAATGAAAAAAATCAAAATGATTAAAATCTGAGGTTGGCAGACTTTAAAGGGAGACTCTAGGCTCCTAATCACTTTAGCTTATTGAAGTGGTTATGGTGCAAGAACTTTGTTACTGCCGCCTTATGCTTGACAAGTTGTTGTTTTTTTAGACTGAAAAAATTACATCACTGAGGTAAGCAGCACTAGTTCATGCTTGGCATTTCAAAAGGGGCATTATGCTGATTGTATGTCACAAATTACCTATGTAATAGGATATTTGACATGTGTTGGTATATCAAGCATCTCCTAGGACAGTAATTTCTTGAACAATAGCTTCCTTTATACTTAACTTGTAAGTATTTAGTGTGGTCAGTATTGTAATGCAGAAGACAACTCACAATGCATCGAAAACTGTCCCATACTCACCTTGACGATTGTCAGTTATTGAAGAACATTATATTATGTATTCCGTTGTAACGTTGTGTATTACCTTACAGGGATACAACTATGTATGCAGTTTCCGCTGATGCAAAAGGACTAGATACAGTGGTCAGCCTATTAGCTGAAGTTGTCCTGCATCCCAGACTATCTGGTAAGTGGACTTTCTATTTCTCTTTATGCTAAATTTGTGGAGAAGATATTAGACCAGTATTTATTTTATTTGAGTTCTGAACACACATGACATTGTATGATATCACTTTTTTAGGTTTAAAAAATACCATAGAGTCCCTAACCGTGTAATCCTGTGTAATCATGTGTTCTCGTTGCAGACGAGGAGATTGAGATGACTCAAATGGCGATACGATTTGAGTTGGAAGATCTTAATATGAGACCAGACCCCGAACCTTTGCTTACAGAAATGATCCATGCAGTAAGTTTATAAATGCTTTAATAGTATTATTTATTTATTACCTGTTGACAAACAAGTTCAGGTTCCATGCTTCGTTTGTCTAAAATCTAATGCTGGGGTGCATCAGGAAGTGAAGTAGCCCTGCAAAAGCTAATAAGTGATTATCCTAGTCCTGAGATCACTGTGATGTTAGTATGCTACAAGGTTTCCCTAGAAACTCATCACCATTCCATGATTTAATGCAGTATTTTGTATATCACTGTGATCTGATGTGGCTGAGATGCATTTTTTTATTTTTACAGTTTTTAATTTTTACTGTTAGGGGTTACATTTTTATCTCTTTTTAAATCCTAATGTTGTGTTATTCGATAATTGCGTACAAATTCTAATAGGTAAATCTGTGACAAAGTATGTTTTACTTTTTTTTTTTTTTCTGTTACTAAAGCCCTACCTGCTCTTTAAAAAGCAATATATGAAGAGAGATAATTATGGTTAAACTAGCAGTGAAATTTCTGCATTGGCAGGGGGTTGGACATTGCGCTCACAGCTGATGGCACCATAACCCCTATAGCAATGACTAAGAAACAGTTCACGTTTATATCGTATATTGCCATTTCACAAAGTATTATTTGTTCATATTTTTGCAGGCAGCCTTTCGAGGTAACACTGTGGGGCTTCCCAGATTTTGCCCTTCTGAGAACATTGAAAAGATCAACCAGAAAACACTGCATAACTACATGCACAACTACTACACCCCAGATAGGATGGTTCTTGCTGGTGTTGGCATCGAGCACGATCAACTCCTGGAATGTGCCAAGAAATATCTCCTGGGTGCGGAGCCTGTGTGGGCATCGGGAAAGCCCAAGGTCATTGATAAGTCCATTGCTCAGTACACAGGAGGGATAGTCAAGGTAAGATATCACCTTCAATGGTATTTACATTTTTTATTTATTTTTTAAATTATTAAGCATTTACACATCACGTTATGGTCCAGGTGGCTATGTTACCACTTACAGCATGAAATAACTAAAATGAATAATAAAGGTGTATGTTGTGGTAGTTGCCATAGTGAACATAGATTCAACAGCATGCATATTGTCACTTTAATTTGCAGGTGCTCTACAAAGCCTGGATAATATCAATGTTTTCTTGTTCCTTTTCATCAGGTTGAGAAAGACATGTCTGATGTGAGTTTGGGGCCAACGCCAATCCCAGAACTCACACACATCATGATCGGATTGGAGAGCTGCTCCTTTCTGGTAAGAATTCCTGCCATTTTGCTAAAATTAAAGCACTAGGATCCATCTAAACACTCCATTAAAAAAAAAAATAATAATAATTTTAACAATTAAGTAGATATTTATCCAAAGAGAAATTGCCTTTTTTTTTGCATGTTTTATTTTGGGTATGTGCAAAAAAAAAAAAAAACAGCTTGAGGCATGCCCTAGAACAGCGTTTATGCCACTTTTCTTATCTCTGTGGATCTAACGGAAGCGGAAGAAAGCCTCCCTGGGTGTCAGGCAGGAGGTGTACCCATTGAAAGCTGCACTTTATAAACATTCAAGAACGTTTGAGATTCCAGACACATGAAGCACGTAAACATCTGTAGTCTGATACATTGTCTGAGGACATGTATGCTAGCGATTGGACCACATAAGAAATACCTTGGGATGACTACTTAAAATAGGTCTATCAAAACCTGAAATCTTTTTGTGTGGTTTAATTTTAAAAGATAGGACACTTTTTATGATATATTTCATATTAAGAATTCTGCAACAACTATAGATTGTTTGAAAATTACTTGGAATCTTAAGACTGCATTTATTCTCCTTTTTATTCATTGTTCTGCAGGAAGATGACTTCATCCCTTTCGCCGTGTTAAACATGATGATGGGTGGCGGGGGCTCCTTCTCAGCTGGGGGTCCAGGAAAAGGAATGTTCACCAGACTGTACCTCAATGTACTCAACAGGTGAGCCCACCATTTGGATCAAATCGGGAAACACTGGAGAGGTTATCTTTTGTAGAACGTAAACTGGAAATGTCATCCTTAAACATATGAAAGTCCGGGTCCCATTAAAACCAATTAATCAATTTCTTCCATACATCGTACTAAGTAGTACATCGAATTTTTCTGAAACTAATATTCTGCATTTGGCAGATCATCAGCCAGACTAGTGCTAGTTAATGCCTTTTTGTCAGTGATGTAGTGGTGTAATTCATCAACTGCATATATTACATGCAAGATAATGTTTCCAGTTTTGCTATGTTGGCATTTAAATATTTGCAATTCCATTGTCCGTTTTGCACACACCCCATAAACTTGAATTTTCAGTTATATTGTAACTATGCATTGATGTTGCCTATATTGTTTTGTTTCTTATTTTAATTTAAAAAAATAAAAACAGTTATTTAAAAATAGTAAGTGTAGACTAAACATAAAGCCATATAAATATTTATACAATTTTTAAAAAACCATTTTGTGTGACTGATGCCCTACTCAAGCCACTTTGATCCAATAAACATTACAAATGTTTCAATACTGTTAGAGAAACTTTCCAAATTATTTATCTACAAGATTAGCCACTGATTTAATGGCAACTTCGGCCGAGAAATCATTTGGAAAGTTTTTCTAACAGTATTGAATAACTTGGAAAGCTTAATAAATGGAGGGCTAAGTGTCTTATTTCTTTGCAACAATGTAATCTGTGTTAGTAAATCAAAGTAATGTAATTTGTTTCATAAATCACCCTCAGCCCTCACTCTGCAAACCGTGCAATAAGATTCCTATTTCTCTTTTTCACCCAGGCACCACTGGATGTATAATGCAACTGCATATCACCACAGTTATGAAGATACAGGCCTCCTGTGCATCCACGCCAGCGCAGACCCCCGGCAGGTGAGATTTTGCAGGGATTCTTTTAGAAGTAAATGGTAGAACAGCCAAGTCCCATAACATTACGTGTCTGAATTTGTTCCTGTGGGCGATTTCCTTTAAATCATAAATCTTGTGTGAGAAAGGTACTTTTCTCTTCTTGTATCTATTCACCTTAACTTATTTGCTGTGGGAACATCGCTAAGGTATATGTTGGTGTTATGTACTTGACAATAATTTAATGTAAAGACTTTTATTTTCTTTCCAGGTCAGAGACATGGTTGAAATAATCACTCGGGAATTCACTCTGATGGCTGGGTCTGTAGGGGAGGTAAGAACACACGCTTTCTTTGCTGTAAATGTTCAGTTCTGTGTGCAGAGTAATACAGGTTTTACAGCTATCTCTGGTTAATATACCTGTGATCTTAAGGAAAGTTTTTGTTTTTTTTATACGTGTGTTTTAAATTTATTTTGTGTATAATTATAATTGGATGTATTTTTTTTTTTTATTGTAATTCATAAGTTACCTAAATGTCATGTTTTATTTTTTCTGTAACCAGGTGGAACTGAATAGAGCAAAGACCCAACTAAAATCAATGCTTATGATGAATCTGGAATCCAGACCTGTTATTTTCGAGGATGTTGGGAGGCAGGTGTTGGCCACCGGGGCAAGGAAGCTCCCCTACGAGCTTTGCAATCTGATTGGTGAGTAAAACACAACTGCTTCCCTATTATTATTTAATCATTTACTTGTGTCGGCATTTTAATGAGATTCTAACAGTCTATATAGATTTTTAAAATGACTGAACATAAACGTAGATCTCTCCTTGTTTTGTGAAAGTTGTATAATTCCTTATTCCTGGTCCTTTCAGATAACGTGAAAGCTAGTGATATCAAGAGAGTTGCCACTAAGATGCTGCGTAACAAACCAGCCGTGGCAGCGTTAGGGGACCTCACAGATCTCCCAGACTATGACCACATTCAGGCTGCACTCTCCAGCAAAGATGGACGCTTGCCCAGATCATACCGGCTTTTTCGATAGGCATCTGCCTTCACCTGCCCATTTTTGTAAAGAACTAAAATGACTGGAGAGGCAAAATGTGGTCATAATAACAACGGACGGTGGATGAAAGATCATCGCTGGACAATATTTAATTTTTTTCCCCCCATGATGTCGCAGCACTGATAATGCAGGGAATTTTCTGTGGATAAACTGAAGGAGCCCTGCGTGTTTACCTAAGCCATGAAAACCACAAATTCGGAATCTGAAGCCACATCTAGCAGGTTCTGTTTCTTCGGTACCATATTTTCTTCGTTACATTTACTTGCCAAAGTAGCGCTTGTATTTTTTTTGTTTAGTATATATTATTGTGAGTCAGTTCATAGCATCATATAGTGGGAGATTTGTGCTGCCGTGTAAAGTGAGACCGAGTTTACTGCAGTCTGCCAAACAGAAAAAATTGAAAATATTCCTGCAAAGCTGAACAATTTTTGTAATTAAAGAAATAGGTATCAAGGCATGTGGCGGGATTGGAATGGATATTTAATGGAATTGCGCTCTGACCTTTGTCCCTCAAGTCCTAAATTCAGACATGGATTGTACAACAAAATGGTGGAGTTAGGTGGTCTCGAACGCTGCAAGGTCTTTGGAGTGAATGGGATTGAGGAATAATCCAGCCTTTTCTTATCACAATAATACAATGTTCTTTAAACCAAGCTGTTTTTTGAAGGTCTATACAAGGTCTTTACTGAGAGGATTAGGCTAGGATTATAATCTACTGAGATGCAGAAAGGAAAGTTCTGCACTTTTTCGACAAAACAGCCCTGTAATCTTGTAACAAGCGTACAAAGGTATTTGCTCGGCTGTAGTTTGTTTGACATTAGGGTTTGCAATAATACTCTGATATTTAGTAGTCAATGAGAACTATTTATTAGCCATGGAAGAAGTTACACCCATTATGCATTGATTATTGCTTTATGCCAGCAGCAATGGAGTGGGGGATTTGTCTAACGCTGGCGTTAAAATGGCCTAATGATGAGTGAATTACATTAAAGCAACAGTCTGGGAACCATATTTGAATTAATTTATGGTGCTAGGAGGTCCCTGGTGCTGGCTGGCCTTGATGGATTTGACCCAGTAACATCCGTTTAAGTTTGAGGCTTGAAACAGGAAGCCTCTGATTGAGCACCACTGAGGGAGCCTGTCGGTACCTCCCCATTCACAAAACAGATTACTATTTTTCTCAAGCCGTCCTGTGAATAGGGAGCTAGTGATAGGCTGAGAGTAACAGCTGCTGTCTCGGTTTCAAGCCTTGAACTCAAACGGATGAGGAGGAAGCAGAACTGAATGATGCTGGACTGAACACTTTGTGGTTAAAACAGTTTATCTCCTGAAGGTGAGCCGGTGCTAGGGCCCTTCAATTAAGTTATGGTGCCTGGAGTGTTCTTTTACTATATAACAAGATTAGGAAGTTAGGAATGCCCTCTAACTTGGCTATTTTTTCAAGTGTTAGTATTTTTACAATTCTCTGTTTAGTGAACATCAGATTGTAATTTTTTTTTTTTAACCAAAAACATGCCTAAGCCTTTCTATCTGTAATACAGTTAAAATGTATTAAAATTGTACAAACCTGTAGGCGTAATACTATCGCCAGCCATACTCAGAAGACATTCTACGTATTTCAGGATGTGTGTGGGGTACAAACTTACATTACAGTAACATTTCTTTCCATTTCCAAATCTCCCAATATTTTAAAAGGCCAGAGATGGGCATATTGTTTGGGGGAGGGTTGGCTAGGAGGATAACTAGTCTGGGGATTTTTTTTGACTACTTAATTTTCTGCAACTTCATGCAATTGGGAAAAATTTAATTTGTAACAAATCCTTTCGTTATACAAACGAACAGGTCATCATGACTTGCTGCGCATGCACACTAGGCTCCCAGTGTTTGGGGAACATTGGATTGGCTGCAATCATCAGTATTGATTTATTGATTATCTCTGCCTTGGAGGTGGGATCAGCTTCATGGAAACCAGCGAGTGTTAAAAAAATAAAAATAAAAAAAAATTTGTAAAGGTGGGCTAACCTACATGTTTGGATTCTTAAGGCTTCTCAAGACACAGTTTTATTGTGGTGGGGCTTTGTGAAAACCACTAACTCTTACTACAACATTATTGTGGTATTACTTTGTCATTTAGTTATTTACGGAGGATCCTTCTGTGGTAGTAATGTTGCTCAGTTCTCTGAATTGGACAATATATGGAATTTTGTTGAAGCAGTAGTTTTCTGTTTTTTTGACTTATCTGGGATCCACCCGACCCCACTCTCTCCTTCTTTCCTTAAAAGTCTGAGAGCCTCAACTCCTGCAGTGCAGGATCAGCTTACGGGTTGAGTGCCAGCTGATTGCTCTCCACCATAAGGCTTAACTCAGGCAAGAGAGCTTCCGGCTCTGAGTGGCAGGGATCGGTGCCTGGCAGCTTAGAAGGCTCTCTGTTATCACTGACTCAAAGTGACTCTTACAGGGTTATTTTGATTGGTTTAGTCTCTACCCATTTACTTGAACCATCTTGTATTACATTTTACTATTGTGGTGAAACAGCACATCTAGCTCCACATTAGTGAAAATATATAAATAAATTTAAAAAAAAGTAAATATAGACCCAAGCAAAATTATGTTACCAAAAAAAAAAAAGATGCCCTAGTTCATAGTTCTCTGTGCTAATCCTCACATACACCATAAAGTATTTTGGCCTATGGAATCTGATCTTAACAGTAGAGGCATCCAGGCCACTTTAATCTCAATGAAGTGGTCTGGATGCCACATGTACCCCTGCAGCAACGGCAATGCTTTCTATGCAGGTATAACCTGCCTCTAATGGCTGTCATTATGACAGTCAGAAGCGCATTAGTGAAATAGCACAGTAAAACCATTTCTATGAGATGGTCTCCTGGAGCATCTATGTTATACCGCGCATGCACACTAGCCTCCCAATGCTTTTCTAAGGGAAAACATTGGATTGGCTGAGATCAATCTCAATGATCTCAGGCAGAACTTGAGTGAGGAAACCAGCGAGGGCTGAAAGGTAACTAAATCACTTTTTTGTTTTAAAACCCTGGCAGCACTGGTCACATCACCCAAATGGTGGAACAGGCACTACAGTGTTACAAATAGATATTTGTATTCCTAATGCTACAGTGTTCCTACTGTTTGTGCACATCCAACATTTTGCTCAGGAGCAGGGGTTTCAGTAACTTGTATTTCAGTTATTAAATCTCCCACTTATGAAAGGTGGCTTAACTGCATGTCCCAGAGAGATTCACAGTGATGCCCAGTGACATGTGCAGCTGTTATTGTGTACTGCAGGTTAGAAAGGAAGCGGTATGTAAGTAATGTAAGCAGCAAAAGGTAGTAGTATAGGATAGAGGATACAAAAACACAGCTACTTATGTGTACCAAAAGCTATACAATGCATAAAAGATGGGTTTTCCCTTTAACATAATAAAAATACTTATTTACAGCAGGAGGAAATGGGTGAAATCAAGTAGATCCAATATTACTGTAACGTCCAAAATCTTATTTCGCAATACAGAAAGCAGATAACATTTGGAAAGGTTTTATTTTTGTGGTCTGATGTTCATATAAGTTAAATATTTACATATATTACATTTAATAAAACAAGGTCATAGACCCGAGACAGTGCATTTGTTGTAAGTAAGGAATGACTTTGCTGCTTGAGTGGCCTGAGCAGCCCCCCCATGTGGCTAACAGGGGGTTTTGTAGTGTCTGAATAAAACTCATATTTGTGGGTTCTTTGTGTTTAAAATGCTTTTTTTTTTTTTTTAAACCACATCATCCGTAATTAATATTGAATCATGCATGGCAGGAAACGCTAAAGCTGGTAATGAAATATTACTTGAGAGACCCAGAACACCATCCTCTTAGAATATATATTTAACTTCTCCCTGGATAAACATTAAGTGCTTGGTAGGTGGCCAAATCGCTGTAGTCCTTATGGTCAGCATTCAGTTGGGTGCAATCTTGTTCTGTTTTAGTCATGAGACTGTACAGACAGTGCTGTTTTTCTGGTTTTTCACAGCCTGACGCTTCTGGAGTTCTCGTGAACTTCTCCTTTTAATGCCCAGCAAATAGAGTTCTCGGTCAAACTGCCCAGCAGCTAGAGGGATGCTGAAAATAGAGGAATGGGGTCAATATTCTACCAGACAGCTTGAAGCTACACGTTAGTTGGAATGTAACTGAAACGTTAACCCCTTCCCAATGTTAGGACGGTCAATGCTGTCCTACATAGATTGGCTTTATTGCCTTTAGGACAGCATGGAACGCCCTGGAGTTTTGGTGGGAGCAGGGAAGTCAGCACTGCATAGAGCTCTTTAACTCCACTGATAAAACATCAGCTGTGATGGTTCTGAGCTGCAGGCTTGTGAAGGAAGACCCCTGGGGTCTCAATAGATCTTGGCAAGGTCTCCATGCATGGCCACAAGCTGATTGTGATCGGTGCTGGGCTTTGCTAGCTGACTAGCACTAATTACAGTGTAATCAGCCGGACCCATTTAGAATTTCATTGAATAGAAATTAGGGGTAGGGTTAGTGTTAAGGTAATGGTTAATGCGGAGTTAAATTTAAGGTAATGGGTATGGTTGGTAAAGGGTTAGTACTAACTAACAATTAATTGCCTTCATATTAGATATTTAACAATCAGGACTGATATGAATTTATTCTGAGTTCTTTTTATTTAGTTGAACTAAATATGGGATACATCTATATAATGGGATATTAAATGAAAAAAACCAACATGTAATATGTATGGAGAGAGAAAGAGAAACCGTTAAGTTATGGTTGAACACACCAGAAAAACTACATTAACCTGTAGGTGTTCTGGTGACTATTGTGGTCCTTTATCTAAAAATAAACAAACATTGAATTCAAGGAAGACCTGTATGTCACTCACAGTTCACACAAAGTGCACATATACACAGTACAACTAAGTTCCTTACTTGTCTCTGCCAGGTCTAATCCGCACATCG